AGAAAGGGCGCGCGAAAGAAAGTTTCATTAACTCTCAGTTCTCTCAGGAAATATTTTCCAGTCACGAGAATTATCAAAATAACTTCAACTGTGCCTCTAATTAAAGCTTACATAACGTTTTACAAATGCACACAAGTTCTCGCGCCACATCGTGCTGAAAGATAATTAACGAGAGCGAGTGTATTGCAGTCGAAATTATAATATAAAGCCGCTATCGAGCAGGTACGCCATATAACACGATATGGCGCCGTTTCGCAATGACGGGATTGGCGTGTGCCGATGTCGTAATCGTTTATCGAATGTTCAATGAAACGGAAAATCCGATAGGTTTAATGAGATTCCCGTTAGAAGAGAAAGGGTTGTTCTCTTGTCAGGCGATACCCCTATCACGGGGAGGAAAACCCAAGGTAGATATAAGGATTCGACACGACCCCGAAAATCAGCACAAACATATCGTGGCGATAAATTCGCTCGCTTTCTTTTTACTGTTTCTTGACCCGTCAGGAATTGAGGTATCTCGTTCCGCATTAAACCAAAACTATCCTGTCGCGTAATTGCGTCCCCTACGATAACAACAACGGCTAAAAAAGAAGACGGCTTTGTTTATTTTTATGAAACGCTTGTCGGTTGATTGAAAGACGACGTTTATCTTAGATAGATCGCGCGATTGAATAATCTTATCACAACTTACGCACTCGTATACTCGACATATAATAGTTCGATAAATATTCGACCCTGGGTGTGAGAAATGTGTTAAACAATGAACTATTTCTGTGGAACTTCCGCATGAAACGTCATCGTCATTTTCGGCACTGCGTAATATTGGTCTAATACGCCGAATCTATCTAAGTCATCGTCTAAATTATATCACGTTTACTGCAATCAGGATGCAATATTTGACGATGAATAATATCATAATTGTAGCTCGTGCTATTACTTTCGATTTCCTAAGATTTAATATATAAGAGTTAGACACAACCTTCGATTAACAGCAGTTGAGAGTAAAAACTCTGAACAGGAAATATACTACTTGTTTTTTTACTGAAAGATTGATCTATTTGTCTTTATTAGATTTTATCCTTATTGGAATAAAGTCATACATGAATATAACGTAATAATTGTCATAGTGAAGTCTTATACTATTTTTCTAGCAGAACGTCTTCATGGAAAAAATGATTTCACTAAAATATCTAAAAATTTAAGTTTCAACAAGTATAAAAACAATTTCATTGAATCATTAAAATAATCGTATGTAGAAAACTGAAGCATGATGAACAATACTATAAAAGCTGTTGAAATTTTATGGCAAACAGAGCGCCCATAATTACTTTAATAATCTTCAATAAAATTATTTTTAGACCTATATCTAGCTAAATCTTTAGATACTTCAATAGAACTGTTCTTTCTGTGTTCTTAAAAATATTTTTAATTGCTTAAAAAATATTAGAGAAGGAAATTTATTTCTCCCTTTACTCTCATTAAAACTACAAATAATTCTATGATATTTACATCACAATTGCATTGGCTAGAAAAGATGTTCAAGTTTTGAAAAACAAGATAATTTGAGAGAAGTGCAATGATGATCAAATTATTAGAGTCTCGTACATAAATTACCAATTTTACGTTAAAGCAATTATTGTCTAAATGTATTGTGTCGTCGTTTTTATGAAATACTGATGTGTGTGTTTACAAATTTTAAATATATATATTATATACCCTTAGTACCGTTATAAATAACACTATCTCTCACATATCATATACGCCATTTAGTATAAATGTCATCATTTCAAAGACTCTTGTTTCACACTTGTTTGCTAATACATTTTAAGATTATTAAAAAATTAACATTTTAATTACTTTTGTTATGCTCTTGCAATATTGTCTCGGTAAGTAGTTTATTTTTGAACGTGTTTGTGATTTATATATATATATAAATGTTACGTTACGACCAATTAATTTATTTATAGAAGAGATTTTTTTAAACATGGATAAGGGCAAAGATTTTTCTTCAAGGAAACTTTCCGAAATAAAAATATTCATAATAAATCCCCTATAGACATTATGTGTACCAACCTTCACATACTAATTTTATTTCTACACAAAGTTAAGAAATACATTTTTCGAATTGTGGCTTTAACTTGATTATCTACCGTGCATAAACAATGGAAAGCTGTTTTACAAAAAGAATAATTATTCAACATTCTATTAATAATTATTCAAGCATTGTGTGACTTTATTTCAATAAAAATATAGAATGTATAAGCAAATGATGAGTCAATCTTTTATCAATAATAAAATAAATAAATAATGTTCTCATCGATACTTATTAGTTTAAACTCTCATACGGTCCAATAAGATTTGATATTGTTTGCTGACGTCGCCTGAAAATAGATGTTCCTACTAATATAATTATTGCGAAGAATATTACTAAGGTTTCGGTAGTCTAAAAGCTTAGGACGCTCGCACGGAATGCCAGAGATCCGGGTTCGACTCCCGGCCGAGGTAATATTTTTCGCAATATAAATTAATTATTGATAGATTTTTAATATGTCATTCAACATTATTAAGATCGAAGATGCTACGAGCATCAAAATTGTTAGATTGTTAGTCAATCTAACTCGTGATAGTACTGCGGTAGTTTATTAGAGTTGCGAGTTCGAGGAAATTTCGGCGCGCATTTTTAAGAATCTACATACGTAGTGTATAAATCCACACAAAATTATATATTAGAAGCATCTAAGATCCAGCTTGTTACGGCATGTTCTCATCGGTGCTTATTAAATAAACGACGTATCTTCCAGGATTCGTATTAATTTATCTATCCCTATATATTGAAAGACATTACGTGTATTCAGAAAAAAGTACGTTTTTCGTCTGCTAGAGAGTCTGTTTTCACGTTCTCCGCGTAGAGGATGGATGACCACGTAAAAGTATCCCGTTACCACGGTAGCCCAGATACCGGATTACGGAGCACGAATTGTCAATCGCGTGCGAACGAGACGGGCTTCTTAAAGAGCCTTTCAAAGTGTTGTGGCAAGGCTTCTAGACGGACTTCACCGTCAGATATTTGATCGAAACGTTAGAAATTTGCGAGAATCGGGGATTTTCCTGGAAATTCCGAAATAACGCTTAGTTCGGAATTCTAAGAAAAGAGACATATATAAGATCGAGTTATTTACGGAATTCTGTTCTCCCAGCCTTAAGTATATGTGTTTCTGTATCGCTGTATAAAAATTTCATACGATTTATGATCGATTGGAATTGACTGACGATGCGTTTAATAGGAATGATGCCAAGGCATATTTATGTTCGTTTCTCATCAAATTGCTCATTTATTCGTATGAATTTAATGCACCGTTATCGTAATATGTCGCTGTCCCATTAACATAATTGTTAACAGACCCGTAAGGCGTCGGCTCGGCTGATCGGCATAATAGAGTAAACAAGCTGGCGCTACACAGCCACTTAATCTTCAATTGTCACGTTTATGGGTTACATTACGAGGATTCTCACGTGATGCGGTTCGACTAGTGGCTAAACTTTTAAACGCTTCTTACACGGGTGCGAATCACTATTCAACCGGCAAGCGCATTCCTGTAGTAAGCTAGGGAAGTATCGACGAGATCGATAGTATAGTGTCGGATTGGAGAGCTCAGCCCAGATTTCAGGGAACGCTTTCAGACTGAACGCTCGTTACAGGCTCGATAAAGCTTTCCGTTTGTTGTAACAACACGTTCCACTGAATCATAATATCGATAATAGCGTAATGCTGGCATGCCGGAGACCCGCGAGCTGAATGGCGCGAGTTTATATCTTTCGACCGCCTATTTACAGAATGTAACCCGTGAGCTACAATAAGAATGACTTCTACTTTTAGTCCGGTATTCTCCTGCTAGTCTTGCGAGGGGAATCCTTAAAGGGATTTTAATCGTTTGGTTCGCTTGCATTCTCGCATGAAACGGTAAACTGCGTTGTTCCATTTTGAATGTGGGGATGATTGTTAAACAAAAATATATAATATCTAAATAATATATAAATATCTTCGTGTGCGCGTTTCAAAATTAATTATAATACTTTCACGGAAACAACGATTTCGATGGTTCGAGAAAATTATTTTCGAATCTGTATCCAGCTAAATTTTTAGATAATTCAGCAAAACTTTTCCGTGTATCATTTGGAAATTAGTTGACAGAGGAAAGAGTTTTATAGCGTCCATCACGATGGAAAAAAAAAGCTAACATGCGTGCCTGTTCATCATAATCGCTAAATGAGATGTCCCAAATTAATGGGAAATTTGTGATTACCGGATGTCCATGAAGAGCTCTATTTTTTCTCTTAATTATTACGGTAATTAACCTATTTGATACGCTACGGCGTCGAATAATGGTTCCCGGGTGTTGCGAGTACGATAATAATTTTTTTAATTTAACGCTCAATATGTGTCCGAAACTTTCCTTTATTAATATTATATTATTTAAACGTTATTTATAAAAAAAATTTGCATATTTGTTATTGGAGCCTTTAATCTTATACTTCATTATTAATTATTATTTTGCTCTTACATTTCAAAGTTCATATTCTTATGTATAATGTATATCTAATATGTTTGCAGTATTTAGAGATAAGGACAGGTTTAAGAAAAGATTAAAAAAAAATTTATCTTTAATTTAGTGTGTTGTAGTATTCAGAGACAGATAAAAGTATAGGTTTAAAAACAAGTTTTTAGAATAACAAGTTTACCTTTTATATTGGTTGTATTTAAAGATAAAAAATATGTAGGTTTAAGAAATTTTAAGAATACATTTTAAAAATAATAAATTTATCTAGGTATGTATATATATATATTATGTTGCCATTTTGACACGAAAATAACATCGAAATGATGACAAATAACGTTAGATTGCTATTTGGATTTATAACTTTAATTTTAGTTGTATGCAGTTTTTTGAAGACAAAAAATGATTTGAAAAAAGATTTCTATAATAGAACAATAAACTCACCTTTAATTTTGGTCTCCTGTGGATCCAGAGGAGGTAATCGTGGATGAGTCTGCTGCCCCGGTTTCTTCAGCAAGACACCCACGACTTGCGGTAGCGGCATCATCATATTCGCTTCTCTTCCGAGCGCCTCCTCTCACTTTCGAAGCGTCAATTCGCGTCACTGGTCATATCGATATCGCACTCGCACATATCCCGATCGATGAAAAATTTTTATCTCTTTTCGATCCTGTGCTTTTCTCCTTTCGATTTCGCGAGCTGCACAGAGTTTGCTATAACTTTCGACCTCCCGTCTGATTCACTAGCTTTCGTTCGTTTTGCCCGAGAAAACGAAAATTAAAATTCCCAAGCGGAATCCCGAATTGAAGAAGCAGCTGCCAATCGTCGCTAATTGCTTCGTTGGCCGACTAGCTCGTCGCAGAGAGACAGAAGAAAGACGATGAAAGCGCCAGTTGGGACCTTCTTGCCACTGACACAATGCTCCTTCTGCGTGCTGCCTCGTTATCGTCCGCTCCGCTACGCCACTCGGCCGTCCTCCTTGTTGATTGGCGTCGCCCGGTATTTTTTTTTTTTTTTTTTTTTTTAATTCGATCGGCGCGCGAGCGTGACCCCGCGCGTTCTCGGCGCGCCAAGAAGGACACGAGCTCCGATTCGCGAGCTATTATCGCCGAGAGCAACACTCGTCGTGCAATGTTTGCGAGCCATTCGTTGACGGGTTTGCCAACGAGTTCATCAACGATCTTACTAACTCGCGTGCCAATCGGATCTTCATTCGTAGGCCTCAACCTCGCCGACAATCGGCGATTATTTCCGAGCGCTCGACGGGACCGATGATTCGGCTGTTCCGATCTGCCATCGTTACGCGAGACTTCGTCCCGTGCTTCTCCTCGCTTTCATGCGCGGAAGAATTAGAAGGAGCGAAAGAAGTGGAATGCGTCAACCAATTTCGACTCGATTAATTGAAGGATTAATAGTGTTGGTTGTCACACAGCTTTCGAGACGCGCTGACGGTCTATTAATCTCGCGTGTCCTCCGTCTTAATTATGAAGACGCGACGACATCAATTGAACATATAGACGTGATCTGCGTGTATTTATCACGACGCGTTGATAAGTCGTATCGGAGGCGACATCAGGTCGTGAGAGTTTCTCGATCGCGACTTTCAAGTCGAAAGCGGTCGACGCTCATCTCTCGCTGCGCTCTTCGTCTCGCTTCTCTCGCATGCACGATGACTTTCGGCCAGAATAGAATACCGAATGTATCGATCGAGGTCGCATTCCGAGATTATAGAATACGAATGTTAATGCAATCACAGTATGGAATATAGAATACGAAAGTTAATGCAATCACAATATAGATATTGTAGGAGAACGTTATAATTTGATAACGACTGGATTGTCTTTATAATCGACGATTGTAAAGAACCACTATTTGCAGTCGCATGAAGTTTAATCCGCCTTTACAATATTAGCGTGCACATCGCGTTACCATTCCTATAATACTCCGAATTTCCGGCGTATACGGCACTTACATCTAACTGCTCCGAAATCGACGGCGAGAAAATCAAAAATTCGATGATCTATTTATTCGTTCTTTCGATGAACGCCACTTCCACCTTGTCGATCGATACAGCGATTTCTCTTAAAAGTTAAATCTCTCTCGCAATTACAACGCTAAGCAAACTTTTGCGAGACGCACTTCCGGTACTCGGTGGAAATGATCACCAACCCCCTGAATGCAGAGCGTTATCACTGTACCTTTGTACTTCCAAGGGGGTGTGATCGATCCCTTAATTACTCCGGCGGCTTTACACGCGCCGTCAACGCGCAGTGGAGGAACGAACGACGAAGCGCCAAACGTGTGACAGCTTGGCGCGCGCGCGGCGAACAACTGATCGCAGAACGGCCAACGAGAGAACGCATAGTATCCTACTCGCTTGCTCGGTCCCCACTACTCGCCATCTGCGTCGGATATCTTTTTCTTTTCCCGAACATGAGACAAGGAGGGAGAGAAAAAGAGTAGCACGCAGAGAAAGAGAAACCCTTGTAAACCTTTAATAGTGTTTACAAGTACAACCTTTAGGACGATGTTAATATTTATTTCTTCCATCGTCTTGTGATGATAAATAGCGTGGAAATATGGCTCCGAAAATTGATTCCATCAATTTTCTGAATTAAAACCGTGACTACATAAAATAATGTTTTGAAGAAGTATGGAATTAAATTATATTGAAAAATAAGATATATATTAACTATCTAGGGGTGAATGCTGTATCTTTGCAATTAATATTTACTTTAAAATTAAATTCGGGATAAATTTAGAGTAAATTTAAAATCTGCGCAGATTAGATACATTTATAAAGATGTGTCACTCAAAACATTATCAAAAATATAAAAATTTTATAGATTATTTATTGTTATGTTTGAGTATCTGTATAAAATTTAAACACAAATTTTTTATTAGTGTGAAAGTTATTTCACTTTTTACTTGTCCTGATTCTTACAAAATCACGTGATACTTATTTGCAAATTTAATATGAAAACATTATAAATTATAAGTCAAATTTTTGATATACATTTTTAAAACTTAATAAATATTCATGCAAAAGTGTTTATTTAGAGATCCAGTTATTTGTTTAAAAGTTATTTACTAAAACTCCAGCAAAATATTGTAATTGCTGTATAAAATATTAAAAGCCAAATAATTTTTGTTTTTTTTAGTTGATTTCAAAGTGTATTTATGACAAAATTTTTTTTATTGATGTTGGTTTATTTTTTTGTAATAGCTTAATCGATATTATACTACCATTATCATTACTATTATAAAACGTCTTTGAGTCTCTTGTTCATTTATTATTACATATACTACTTTTAGATTGTGTAATGTTAGGAGTGAGAAAACACAATAACGATTTTTGTAAGTCATATATGAATATAAACACTTTTTAATAAAATATTTGCACTAAAATATACTTATAAAATTATCTAATACTTATAAAATATACCTTTTTCGAAAAAAATTAAATTATAATTATTTCTATATATACAAATTTTTAATTTGTTATAGCTGTATACGTATATAACTCATTTCGTTACGCACAATCCTCAGATATATAATTATTTATTGACGAAATAAAAGGAGAATTTTTGTATATATATTTTACAAGTCAGTTTTATCGATTGTAAGTGTTGTTTTATTATAAAACCTATTTTCATATTAATACATATGTAAGAATTTTTATTGTGTATTCTCTGACATACAATTTGAAATAATAGTAGTCAATAAACAGAAGCTCTAACACTAAGTACTGAAGATGGAAATGCACGTAACATTGAACATTGAAGTATACATTGAAGAATACATTTAATCATCACAAAGTCTATTACGTTTTGCAGGACGTTTTCGAGTAAAATTAGTAAAAAAATTGTTTTTTCAACAATAACAAAACGATATGTTACCTCTATAGAGGATTAACGAAGAATTCAATTCATTGTTTTACAAGAGGATAATAAATATACACTTACGCGTTTTGTCTCAATGTAATTTTCTTGAGAATTTTTTTCATAATTGATGATTGTACGAATCACTGTTAACATTCACATAAAGTTTAATCTGCCTTTGTATTGATGCAATTATTTTGTAGAATTTACTTGAGACACAGAAGCTAATCTTGGAGGCTCTCTTTGCTTCTTATTTCTGTGTTATACTTACAAATTTAAATTTGACATTCCTTATGATGAGAATCGCATTGTTTGCAGATTCTCTCTCTCTCTCTCTCTCTCTCTCTTTCTCTTTTCAAGATTTTATCATTGTTTCATCGTTGAGAAAGAACGCGACTATTCTTATCGTATCTAATTGTTTCCAAGTTGTTAACAACTCGATTCGATTTTAATTGTAATATTTCCTCTGCGATATACCGCGCAATCGCCAGTCCGCCTTTCGCCATCGACGGGAAGGATACGGAAACTGATATTTTTCAATCTCTTTCACGAGACGCAGGATGCGGGAACTCGATCTCAGCCTATGACGCGCGAAGGTTTCAAGACCGCCGATCTATGACGATAAAGTGTAAATTAAAAATACGGTGACACACTTTCACCGTTAAGTACCGCTACTACTCGCAACGTAATGGCCACCATTCAGCTTCTGTCTGGGTAATAGACTACGTCGTGCGTAAAAATTTTGCGTAATTGTTATGGTCGCGAGTAAAATAACTGTCGTGTCTGGTGCAGAGAAAATCTTCCACAAAATAGAACCTCTACCACGAGACGAGGTTATCGTCATTTACGGCGGACGAAAAGCATATTCGCGTGACTCAGTTCGCTCTCCCACTCCGTTTTCTTCGAAAATCTATTTGGGAGTGCAACGGAACTGCAACGCGCGAGCGAACAAAAGCAGCCCCACTGCAAAAAGTAACCATATACCGTGCTATCGACCGCATTATGCTCTGGGAATATCGCCCCTTATATTGCTCTGTCGGAGCTAGAACACCATAAAACTTCGGAAAGTGTCACGCGATTCGCGCGCATGCAACAGCGACGACGATGTATTATAGCGGAGTTTCGTACATTATAACACTCGGAACTCGGGTAGTAGACTTTAAAACACGGAGGGCATCCTCCGTATTCATGCATGTGAAGACTATTTCACAAGAGATACTATAAGTATAGCAGAGGGATGAAAGAAGTAAAGAAGACGGAACAATCACGGAACGGTTTCACAAAAAATTGACGAGAGAATTCGATCAAAGATAAAAATAAAAAAATTTATTATACGATATTGTATAATATGGCTTGTAACGAGCTTTGACTTCGGCCAATATTCTTTATTTAAATATGATCGTATTGCATGATATAAAGGCAATTTTTCTAAAATATATTAAAATTTAACTAAATATAATTAAAAATAATTTTGTTGAACTATCAAAATAACTGGACAGTTATTTTGACAGTTATTTTTTATAGTTATTTTTATTATTAAACTAATTTCTAGAATGCTATTTGTAGTATTGCTCATTGTACTTGAAATTATTTTTGTCTTTATACCATTAAATTACAAAATTGTAATTTAATTGAAACAATAGAATTTTTTCTGATCGGAAAGTGAAATAATACAATATTTTAAGTAAAATAATGAAATTGTTTGAATTAACAAAATTGTAATTTGAGTGAAATAATACTTTGAGCGAAAAATAACTTGAGTCAAGTAACACAATATTTGAAATTTGAATAATGCACCACAATTGTTTCAGAGTAAAGAAAGAATTTAATTCTTCTCAAAAAGGATTTAGTTTTAGGTAATCTATGTATGTTACTTAAAAAGTTAATCAATCACATTTGTTTATTTAAATATCGTTTCGGTTGGATTATTAATAGAGAGAAAGATTTATTTGGAATCAACATTTCTATTTATGTTTATTTTATTGAAATATTTTATTTCTAAATAAAACTATTTTGTTTAATTAAAAATTTAGCTTGATTGTGAATTCAATTAATTACATTTCTTAATTAAATAAAGAATTGATTTGGTTGATGTATTACAATGACTACGTATTACAATGATTACGTTTATTAAATTTTAAGAAATTCGCGAAAGAATTGCTTTTTTTTTTTTTATAAAGAAGTGATTTTCGTGTCCTTTTGGCCTAGAAAAAAAAACGTGATCCAATTATGTCCTTTTCAAAATACTCTGAAATTGTTCCACTTGTTTTGGAAGCATTTTTTCATATCACCCATATTTTTTGGAATATTTGTCAATTAAAATGAATTATATAAATATTAAACATTAAAATCTGCTTTGATCAAAAATAGGAATCTTTTTTTTACTTGCTAAATTTCTAAATACTACTTATAATACGCATAGTACGATGTTAGACATTTCATCGCCATCATAGTAATATTCTGCACGTGTTCGCTACGAACAAAGAACGTGTCTGTCGAATTTTTGTCGGTAACTGGCAATTGGTCTTTGCACCAGACGACCGCGGATATAATAAAGCTTTTGGAAAATATTTTTATCTCCCTCGCAAAGCACGAAAAAATACAGTCGGCTGTACCGAATGGTGGAGATGACGAAATAAAATAAGAAGTTCTATAAATAACTGATTCCTGCATGGGAAGAACGTTTACCGAAGTATATGAAAATTTAGTTAGATATAAAACATTTGTACAGGAACAATAGTTTGTTGAAGTATGTAAAAATATAACTGTGCACACAGATAAAAAATACTTTTGTTAGACCATCAAAATAATTATACACGTATAGCAGCTGCTAGTTGAAAGCTTTTTGCAACGTTGCACATTATGTTTAGGTGTTTTACATAAATATTTTAATAGCCTAACAAAATTATTTTTAAATTTGTGCGCCAGAAATTTTGTGATGACTAATATTATTCAGGGGTGGGCAGATTTTCTGAAATAGAAAAGATTTAATTAATATATGCAATAATCTAAGCTTTAATTTTCTGAAAAATTGAATAAAAATGAAATTAAGTAGGTGTTCAAAATTAACATGTTCGATTTTTATACAAAAATATAACGAGCATTTTTTGTTCATAAAAAAAGTATAAATTTAAAAAACCCTTTGATTAAAAACTAGTTTTAGATGTCTAACAATAAGATAAATAGATAAAATTTTAGATTAATGTGGATTTAATGGTTTTAGGAATATTTTGATCATTAAGGGGATGCTGGAGCCGCCTTTTTTTACCGATATAGCTAGCGTTTTCATTGATCCTGTCTAACCACTTCGCAGTAGTTTCACAGAATAAAAATTCCTTCTCCATGATTAAAATATCCGAGCTAATATACGTGCCCCTGGTGTTTCTTTCACGAACCTTTTGCAATACTCATTCGGTACTGTGCCATTCAATGGTATCCGTCAAAGCATTCGCGCGGCCGGTTTGTAAACTTCATGCCTTGTAGTCGAATATCTTAAAAAAGAAAAAACTCACTATTTAAAAACTATTGACATTATGTATACATTTAGTTATTGACACTTTTTACTCGTCTTTCATGAAATACTTGTGCCCGTATAAATAAATATATTTATTTATATATTTTTATTATTAATTACAAGAAATATATCACTCACACACACATGGGCGTGCGCGCGCGCTCACAGAAAAAACGGAGTGATTATCTCTTGTAGATAAATGATTTTTACTTTTTTTTATTATATTCCTCAAAAACTTTATTCAACATATTAAAATATTTTATATATAGGGGAGAGTGATCTAAATCGGACCTATTTGCAGTATTTGTTCTCTATAAGGCGTAAATAAAGTCCGATCGTAAAACCAATATGTTGTTCGAAAGATCATTTAATTTCCTTCGTTTTTGCTTCAGACAATTTTGACATATCTCTTGACATATCCAACTAGGTTGTGACCTTCTTTCTTTGATGAATTAGCAAGCTTACTCGTCTTTTTAGCGTTTTTTGTATAGATCCTACTTGGACACAAGTTCTTTCGAACTATTGGAACAAATTTTACAATAAACCGCAAAAGTAATCACAACACTCTTGATATTTTTTAATTCTACACTCTTTAATCATCTTAAATCAATTACCGTTCAAATTTTTAACATTTTTTAAATAATGATTTACAAATTTTCTTTTTTCAAAAAATGTTTGCATGATAATCGAAAATACATATTTGCGTCTATTCTATGAACGTTATGAGTACTGCCAAACTGCTGTCACATGTTCGGTATCTTATAAGGACTTTACATTTAAAATAGCACTCAAATCTGCTTAATCGTATTTTTTTAAATTAAAAAGGTCCGATTTGGAACACGGTCCGATTTAGGACATTCTTCCCTATTTATTGCATATACAAAATTTGTATTTTATAATCCTTTATTTATTCACGTCAATAATATTTAAAAAAAATAATTTTTCAAATTTATACGTTTAAAATTATTTTTTAAAACTAATATTTTTTAATTAACTTATGTAATCTATATGTACATAAAGTTGTATTAAAATGAGAATTTGATACTTTACTAGGATTCCTTGTTAGTCGTCGTCGTATAACTTAAATTGTTTTTGTTTCTAAACTTTCATTATGACAGTCAGCTTGCTAATGTCCCGAATGCATTCACGATACCCGATACAAATAAAGATAAGGTTAGATTCGGACCGCGCGCTTAGTACAACGCGTAACTCTTACTTTCACTTTTTATAAGGAAACACGTATACATTCGTTACGGCACGCTAATTTTACTAGTCGATTATAACGTGTTGATTAATTATTTCGAAATTGCCTCAAACATGAATCGCAAAGTTAATCGTTGACTTTGCTTTGATCATCGTCGTGTATTCCAATGTCACTTCAAATTATAAAATTGCTGTTTGGCGGAATAAAATCCGTAGGATAAAATCTTACCTACTTGGAGCCTAAATGTTAAGAAGTTGCCGCCAAGACAGTATTTTCGTTTTGAATCAGTAAATAATTAAATAAATAGAAATTATTCGACTTATTCTAATATAGTATGCTAATAAACGTTATATACTTCTTTCCGCCAAGATTTCGAATCTTTGTTTATATCATTGTAAATATTTAAGATATCAGTTATTTTTTGCCATAAGATAGTTACATCTTTATATGTAAAATCAGCTGAAAATTTATCCGACATCAAAAAGATTTTTCTTTTTCCATAAATTGTAATAATAATGTTTTTGGTTCTTCAGTAATATTTGCACTGCACTTTTTTATCCATTTTTGTTCTTCGCGTGAGATATTTAAGTTCAAGTGCGAGACTATGCATTGATATACGATTATTATTTTAAAAAATGCAAAATTGTAATATATGTTACTTATTGAGAAGTACTCGATGTTTTTACTATAGGTAGTTAATAATCCAATATTGCCATATATTCTATTAGTGCAAAAGATACGTATACGAATTTAAATACGAGCGCTCGCATGTTTTGTCTTAAAAAATACGTATCGATGAGATCGAACGATAAGCGTATACGTATTTAAACCATTCGTAAGTTACGTAAACGCAAAGTTACGAGTAAGTTAGAGAATCGGGGCCCAACATCCTTTTAAAAATAAAGTAGTGAATTTTAAAAATAATAAATATGTTTTTAGAGCAAGACCTTGATTCTCTGATTTACTTGTATGGGGGCAGAGAACGAGACGTAACTAGACGTAACTGTCGTAGTCGTGATGTAGGATAAAAAAACAATGGTTTAAAAAATGTATACATGTTAGGAACATCTTTTGCTAGCAATATATGTATATTGTAGATATTTACAAAAATATTAATTAAATTAAAATGATAATTCCAGGTGGTGAAAATACATATTCATAAATTAATTTTTTCAAATTTTATTTCAGTGCTTATATTCACTTATTAAAAGCTATTAAGATATATGCACATACATTAACATTATATTCACCTCGTCTCTCTAACGCACTTTCCCGACCAGTTACGACTACGACATTTACATTTTTCTCTGTCTTATCTCACGTTACGACGTCTCGTTTTCTGTTAACTCTACTCGTAACTTTACGTATGCGTAACTTACAAATGATTCAAATTCGATTCGATACGTATTCTGTAAGCAATATGCGAGCGTTCGTATTTAGATTCGTATACGTATTTTCACAAATGGAATATATGGCAACATGGATTATTAACTACCCGTAGTAAAAACATCGAGTCTCTCTCTCTCTCTCTCTCTCTCTCTCTCTCTCTCTCTCTCTCTCTCTCTCGCAATAGGTAACAAATATTACAGTTTAATATTTTATTATTAAAGAATTAAATGTACTGTTGTCTTAAATATTTTAATTCATTTAAAATTCTGTAACATTTAATCCACTGACCACTAGTTTATTATGTCTAAGTTATGTATACGTAAAGTTATGAGTAAATTAGAGAATTGGAGCCCAGTTCTTTTAGTGATAACGGTGACTATTACAGATATATATACTTACTCAAAACCAAAACCGAAAAGGATTGAAATCCAAACAGACTCGGTAATCGTTACAGTAAAAAAACTGGAATCAAAAGTTGGATTTAATCTCGGACCGTTATCGTCCGGACCGAAATTTTTCGGTCCGTTGCGCTACGCGCCACGCCGCTACGACCGGGAGAGAACAATTCTCTTGCGCCTGCGCTTACGCCCTTATGCCATATTATCACGTGTTACGCCTTGTCGTGTAGACTAGGGATGGGCGATACATTAAAAAATATCGATATTGTGTATCGATATGTATCATAAATAAAAATATCGATATATCAAAAATATCAGAATTGTATCGATTATTATTAATATCGATAATTCGATACATTGTAACCATTAAGGTGCCTTTTCATATTTTCGCTCTTTTTTTTTACCGGCGTCAAAATAAGTCACGTGACAGAAATTGACGATTGTCAAGCGTCAATTTTGATCACGTGACCTATTTTGACACTGAAAATGAGTGTCGAGTGTCAATATGAAAAGGTCCCTATACTAAATATTTTTCATATTCTTCTATTATTAGTACAACTGACGATGAATATTTTAAAAAGACATTTTTTCCACGAATGATTTGGTTGGCTATCCCACTAGCCACGGAGTAAAAAGATCAAACTCGTGGATGAAGTATGGACTCGAAATAGAAAATCAGGGCGATGCAATTTTAATGCCATTGCGGGAAAAGTTGGAAGTATATACCACATGATAATGCGTACGAAATATTTAGTCTTCCTTTTACTTCGTGGCGCCAGCTTACGCAGCGCGACAAGCGTACCGCAAAGAATAAGGAGAATTCTTTGGCGTACCGCGTCTAATGAGCAAAATTCATGACTGTATCGAAAGTTCGATATGCCTGTTAAACTGTCGATACATGTTAATATTGAAAGATAAAAAATCGATACAAAATATCGAAAATCAAACTCAAAAGTATCGATATTTTACGATATCAATACTTGTATCGCCCATCCCTAGTGTAGACGAGACAGCTGAATAGTCGTCAACTTTAATGATGTTACATCATATAGCCCATATGGCTGAAATATATGGATGAAATATATTACGGACTTTTGCAACATAGGGTGAGTTTTTAAATTCATCGATTGATCAATCGCATTGTGCGTAGATGTAATTTTGTTCTGTAAAAGCTACATTTGCGCATAATGCGATTGATCAATCGATGAATTGAAAAACTCGCCTATAGTGATAGTGTACACTACAAAAACAAGGGAATAAAGTTTATAATTTGAGGTAGAAGTACAGTGGCTATATTTACACCGTGCGCTTAGTTCGCGACCTATAGAGGAAAAGCCCCCTATTATGAGATAGGCGCTTAACATGAGATAGCGGCGTTTCTGCTAAACTAAATAAATGCTATCTGTTGATTCTATCATGAAATTATTGCTCTTGGATTGAAAACTATTTAGTGGAAAATTCATTGTTAGATCATGCCTGCAGTAATTGTAAAATAAAATTTTAGAGTTTGAATGTTTTCGAGTTTCATTGAGATAAGCATTTAATCTTTGTTTATTATTTAATAAGTAATTATTTGGCAATAAATTCTTCATGTAGTAATAGAGTAAGATCGTACTGATAGAAAAATACGAAATATGTTGAATTGTTTAATTAAAGAAGTTAGATTTGATGATCGTAAAGCTGTAAGACGTGATACTCGTAATATGAGATACCCAGGATATTTCTAATATGAAATAATCTATACTTCTGTGCCCAAGTGATAATCGATGTTAAAGTATAAATGTTATTGTACAATAATAAAAAGAATAACCGGAATGAACATTGAGGGTCTGTTTCTGCAATACTTCATTCCAATTACTACTGAAGACAAATCCTGAATACAATGCATCACATGCTCAATTTACGCGCATAGGCTGTACTCGTTGATATGTTAGAAACATCAAATAAAGTTTTTTTAATTCTAATACTGATGTACTTTGTGCTTTATTATCGATTTCTCGGGGTATCTCATGCTAGGAGCACAATTTTTCGACTTTGCGATTTGTTCACCTTTTACATTTCTTTAATTAAAAAATAAAATAAAATTTGAATTAAATTTTACATAACACACACTATCTTAAAGCTTATTAAATCCTCTTCAAAATGACCTATTATTTTTTTTAATTCTACCAATAAACATTTAGTAATTACACAAAATGAACTCGGTATCTCATAATAGGGGCCTCTACTCTACGATAGGTGTCTTTGTTTAACCTACAGGATAAACAAGGATATCTATTGTATAGGCATAGGTCGCGGCCTAAATGCACGGTGTGTAAATGTGTAGCTAGGAAAAGAAAATGTATTATACCTACTCGATTCATAAATTTAAGTTTTATTTACTCAATTTGTACAAATTGATTCTTTTATAATGATACTTTTGTATATATTATCTAGTCGACTGTAATGCAAATTTGTATTTTTAGGTTTGAAATGGAAACTATGATGTAGGAAGATTGTACTGAGGATGTGGAGTCATCTACAGATTTATGCGACATGGTACAAAAAAAAAGACAACAAAGAGGTTCATAACTCAAGAAAATGTATGGAATATATTATGTATTTTTTAATTATTAATTATCTTTGTAATTGTCTTATTGATATAGATTTTGTATCAAAATATTAAAATAAGATTGTAATTATTTCAATTTTTACAGCAACGATGCCGCTATCATTGTTATGGAACCTGAGACTGCATTGATAATGACTCCAAAAACTGAGTTGTGGTATCTCTAGCTCTAATCATTAAACAGAATATAACTGCAAATATTGTCAAGCTCTTACCAAAACAAAAAAACACAAATAGTCAAACAACTATATAAACATAAGACAATGATTCGTACAGTTTGAAACTATTATTAACATGTCTATCATTGTAAATAAGACTCTCTGATATAATTTGATGCATATTTTCGACTAAAGAGTAAGGACTGTGTTTTTATTGATGAAACGATAATTCAAAATGAAAACTTAACTTTATAGATTTTTGGGAGACCATATGCTTTGGATAAATTGAAATTGGAGTGTAATAAAAAAGTTTTTTTTTAGATATACAGTGGCGTGCAAAAGTTTCTGGCCAGTAAAATTTTGTACCTTAATTTATCAAAAAGAGTCTGATAAAATTATTATTATTATAGTAGCTGTTAGTACAAAATTTCGTTACCCACGTCTTGTACTAATATCTGATAATTAAAATCTTATCAGGTTTCTTTTTTTATAAATTAAAATACAAAATGTTATTGATTGGAAACTTTTGCACGCCACTGTATATTCCTTTTATGCCAATTTTTCATGATTGAATTGACTATTCTCAATGTTGTTTATAGGGTGTTTTTGTTTTAATATATGTAGTCTCATCTTGAAGCACACATTCCTTCTATTTTTATTATATATTAATTTTTATTTAGTGCCACCGTGGTGTTACCTTTATCTACTCGGGTAAAAATTATTTCAGTATTTGATTTAAAAATTGTACTGTAGGAGTCAACGCTTATACATTAGCGATATTTACAATTATAATAATCGAATACAAAATCTTAATACCATATACACTGAGTAAGAACCAGGTATCCGGTATGGTCTAGTGGCTAGGATATCTAGCTCTCACTCAGCGTATATGGTATCAAGGTTTTGTGTTCAATTATAATTGTAAGTATCGTTAATATATAACCAGCGTTGATTCTTATAGTCTTTAATGTATTATACTCATTGTTTTTATGTTGATAATTGTACTGTGTTTTTATATATATTATAATGAAATTCGTTCTCTCTATTTATTATGTTTTCATTTTTTTAAAAATAAAATAATGGAATTGAGGAAAATGGTACTACGGATTTTAGTTAAGTTTTATTTAGTTAACTTTTATTTATATATCAAACATTCAACATCTTTGATAAATTCGTGGAAGTCTTTCTTGTCTAATTTGAGGTGGAAGTCAAAAATTATCATCAAATTATAACAGATTAAAAACTTTGAATGGAATTTCTGTGTCAGAAAGGTTCATAAGCCATTTATCATTGGTATTAAAATTAAGAGATGAATTGTATCTTCTAAGAATTTTTTTGGATCTTTGCTGATATTAAATATTTGATAGAAATTGTGACATTATTAATTCCGATTTTCGTATTAAATATTAAAAAATAAAAATTGTAATTACAAATAATATTTAACTACACGTAGAAATTGTATTTTTACATTGAAAATTGATAGAGAATTTGTCTCTTAGATCTCTAAATAATGTAAAAAATTTTTTTGTTTAGTAGTTCTGTACTCCTGAAAAATGGACTTTGGAGGTTCGAGATAAGAGACTTTGTGGTGTCTTTTAGTTTTTTAACATAGCCGGAGACACTACCGCATCTCCTGATGACTACAATTTTATTCCATACACTTTTTTCCACATATCGGATTCTATTCCACTTTCTCCTGTTTCTATGTCATCCTTCTGTTATCTTTTATTCATTGTTCTATTTTTTACATATGGTTCAATTCTTTTCTATTGATGCGTTTTTAGGATTTTGCAGGTGAGTGCACCATACATAGTGAAAGCAGTAGAAACTGACGAAATAAAAGGACAATACCATCTCACCTTTCCACTTTTTCCATGACAGTCAAGTTTTCTTAGCTTAAGATCTATAGATACATTCGTTTAACAAAAATTATTACATAATATTTTGAATATACAATATAAAAATATTAATTATAAATTAGTAAACGTTGATAATAGCTGTAGGAGAAATACACTACTCGACAAAATTGAAGCATCACCTGTTCCACCCTGCAAAAAAATAGGCAAATTTTAAGATAAAATAACTTTTCGTTTTTAAGATAAAATTTATCGTTTTTAAGATAAAATAACTTCGCCAAAAATCGTCATATCGAGATGTTTAAAAAAGCCTTTTAAAGCTTGAAATCTCTTTTCAGAATTAAAAATTGTGTACAAATGCGGTTTACAATCTTCGAAAGACTGAATCTTTACCTTTATTAATTTGCTTTTTTCGATTGCCTTTGTACGATTTTAAATTCGCAACCTCACAAATTTCATATAGAATTTTAAGATTTGATACATCTTTATTTTTGTTTGTATAACTTCAAAAAATATCGGCAAGACCATTTCTTAAATAGTTGTTCTAAAAAGTGGAGATTTCAAGCTTTAAAATGTCGATACGATGATTTTTGACGAAGTTATTCTATCTCGAAGTTTGTCTATTTTTGCAGAAGGGTGCTTACGATAACTCGAGTTCGGGTTAGTTTCACTAGGACCGAAAAATATAGTAGACATTACCACCTAGTACTTTCATGATTCATGACAACTCAACGCTATCTTGTATTACCATCATATAGTATGTAATACTATGATTGCCATTGAGTTGAATTAAGTATGTAACGTGCAAAGGCCTTAACTCATCTCAATGGCAATACAAGACAGCGTTGAGTTGTCATGAATCATGAAAGTACTAGGTGGTAATGTCTACCATATTTTTCAATCCTAGTGAAACTAACCCGAACTCGAGTTATCGAAAGCACCTAGAGTGAAACAGACGATGCTGTTTTTGTTGAGTAGTGTATATATTTAATTTTTATAAGAATTTATAATTGTGAAATATATTTAATTTAAAATTAATAACATAATCTAAAATTATCAGACATTTTACTCTCAAATATTAGTTTTTGAAGAATCCTTAAATAGAGAATGTCAAATAGATGTTATAAAAAACTCTGGTAGAAAATGTCTTACAAAATAAATTTTTTATATAATTTTTAAGAGATTTAAGTAAAATATTTAAAAAATTATTTCAGAAAACTCTTCCTCAACGATGCAATGGTGTTTTTAAGGCTGTTAAAGCTTGTTGTAAGAACAAAGTTGGGGGCGGAACTAACATTACTATTAATTGAAGGTAATTTTTGTGCAGCACAGATCTTTTTTGCGATGTTGCAACATTGTAATGTTCCAGCAGTGTTGCTGTAACATTGCAAACATTGCAGCAATGTTTGTACAATTTTTATGAGTGGTCAGAGTTTTGTAATAACGTTTTATTCTTATGATCTTTTTTACAAACGAATACTTCTTCAATGTTTAACCGATATAAATTTCTTAACAATAACGTTCAAATTTAAATCAGTTAAGACATCTTTCTTAATCAATAATAAAGCTAAATCAGATGGTCTTCCTTGTGTCATGGTACTTCTTAGTTAAATAATTTTTAAGCCTTCTTAACACACTGAATGATCTTTCGGCATTCGCTATTCCAATAGATAATATTATAAACAATCGTTAAATCAATTCAACATTAGGAAATATATTTACAAGTTTCTGATCGAACAGATATATTCAAAGTATCTCAATCAGTGACAATTTTAAAACTGTTAAAACTTTGGTTCAAGAACAAAGTTGAGAATGTCCGGGCGTATTACTATTAATTTAAGACAATTCTTACACAGAACAAATACCTACAATATTGCAATAAAAGTTTATAAATATTTACCACGCATCGGAGCTTGCAAGGTTCGAAAATACCGTGGCATGTCCGGAAGTCCAAGAGCCTCTACACATTATATATATTCTGTGCCTCTACAGCCCTAGAGCCTCTGGAGCCCTAGAGCCCTAGAGTCTCTAAAGCCTTAGAGTCCCTATACGTTCTACAAGGATTCTAGGGCCTATTAGGGACCTAAGGACATTTTCATACAGAGACTATTTTAGACTTATACTACACTCTAATAGCTATTTGAATTTCTAGGACTATATTTAAAACGCGTGTTCCTATCTATTTGTGCATTATGACTAATGCTTATTCGAAAAATGTAACGTAAACTCAAAATTAAATTAAATTTAAACTAAACATAAACTAAAATTAAGAATAATATAAAGGACTAATAAAAGAGTTTATATTTTTTTATATGGATATTATATCTTGAAATACAATAAGATCAATTTATTTTAAAATATTTACGGAATTGTACAAGCATCCGAAGAGGGCTGAATCATACAACCGAAACATGTAATGCGCGCGTTTATTGTAAATTTAAATCAGTATATAATTAAAATGTAGCGCTCATTTTTTGGAAAATATTAATTATTTGACTCTTATTAGTCCTTTACATTATTGTTGTGGTAAAATTAAGAATTTACAAAATTAATATAATTTATAAGTAAATTATAAATAATCAGTGGCAATTTAATGTTGGTGCAACGTGCAACAGGTGTGACGCACCGACGGGCCTCGCGATCGTGGACTCCCGCAAACCACGGAATTCTCGAACTTTTGCAAAACCTCGCAAGCTCCAATGCGTAGTAAACATTCATGAACTTTTTGTTACAATATTGCAGATATTTGAGCTGTGTAAGAATTGCCTTGCATTAATAACATAGGCCGATATTTTAAGCCTTTCTGTTGTTTGAATAAAAGATACCATTTTTAATATATTTTCGCGCACTGAACACGAATCCGACAAGAAAATTGCTCTATCACGTTAAATTTTTGAGAAAAATAAGATTAAAAGTCAAAATTGACGTTTTTAACATTTTTGTGATTTTTTGCTAATGAAATAAATTTTTTTTCTACTTTTGTTTACGCCATTTTAAAATGCTAACTTTTATCTTTAAAATATATCTTTTTTAATGCTACACAATGGTCCAAAAGATTAGAAAAATTGCCAAAAGTACTAAAAGTGCTCCAATTGTTGTTAAATTGATTATTCAGAGATTTTTGAGATCGCTAATTTCGAATCTGAACTCAACATTTAAAAATTCAAAGTGGCGGATTCAAAATGGTGGTTAAGAATGTTAAAAATGCTCCAATTGCTGTCAAATTCGGTACTTTTTTCG